CATTTTCCAGATTTCCTTGTCTCAAATCTCTAATCTTCTAATCCTGAAAGAATCCAGTCCTCAACTGATCATCCAAATAGTTAACAGATGGTAGTGAGTCTGTGTAAATTTGTCCATCTGGTCATCTCTCACCACAAAAGTGGAAAACCAAATGTACTGCTCAAAGTGCTGCCCATTTTGAAATTTTACCTCTACTGCTATCCTTTAGGGTCACCCCTGAGTGGGGCTACCAACATATACTGTAGAGGAACATCTGTAAATCTGGCTCAAGTTTTGTCTTTCTCAGCCAACTGATCAGTAATGAATACCCATGAGGCCATAGGTATAGATTGAGAGAGAGAAGAGAGATTGTAGCAGGGATTATTGTTGGATTCTGAGCCGCTTGTTCATGCAGGTTACTCTTGACTTACGGATCTTGTGAAAGACTGGTCTTTTATATACCATTTCCATTTGATCATAGATTGATGCTCTGTACATCCAGTCTATGGCTAGGTTGGTCATGTAACTTGCAATTCATGATAGGAAGCTTATGGCACATAGTAACCTGATAGCTAAGCATTTACTCTCTACCAAGGCCTAGTAGCAAGGCCAAAACACCTTCTCAAAGGGAAAATAGTTATCTGTAAAGAAGGGTATGGATTTTTCTCCCAAATCTAAGAGGTCTACAGTATAGTTCTCCTTTAGTAGCTTTCCAGAGGCTTCATATAGCATCCCTGTTTACCACAGACACTTTGAATATCATTGAATTTGCTACATTATAAGGCCCAAGTGAAAGATCAGCTCACCCCTCTTGTTCTGGTCCCCTGGAAGCCTTTTAAGTGACTTAATAAATGAGTAGAAGCATGACACTCAAATATATAGGCTTCTAAAAGGCATAACAGGCATTTTACTCCTTTTGTTTGTGGTAGGTTTTGGAAGGTGTAGCAGCCTTTCACCTTAAAGGGAGTATCTTGACATATTCCATATCATTGGATCCTCAGAAGCTTCACTGAGGTGGCAGGCCTCGTAATTTTTGTGGTAATTATCTTCCACTCTCTCGATTCACTTACATCTAAGACACCTAAAGTGCTTGTTGCTTCCTGCTCCCCAGATCCATTCTGCATAATGTCATCAATGTAGTGGACCATTGAGATGTTTTGTGGAATGTCAAGATGATCAGGATCTCTGTGGACTATATTGTGGCAAACAAACAAACAAAAAAGAACAGGAGAGTTGAATAGCCCTGAGGCAAGGCTTTGAAGGTGTGCACAGATACAAGCCAGGTAAAAGCAGACTGCTCTGGTGGTCCTTACAAACTGGGGGTGGAGAAAAAAAGCACTAACCAGGGAAATAACTGCATGCAAAATATTAGGGGCTGTGTGTATGTGTGCTGGTAAAGATCTGGAAGAGTACCTTCATCAGCATCGCTACCTGGTTAAATTTATTATCCACAGTTAGTATCATCTTAGGGGTGCCTGGATAGGTCAGTTGGTTAAACATTCAGCTCTTGATTTCAGCTCAGGTCATGATCTCCAGGGTTGTGGAATCGAACCCCAAATCAAGCTCCATACTCAGCAGGACGGCTGCTTCTCTTCCTCGCCTTCTGCCCCAGAGGAAGAGAGAGAGAAAGTGAGAGTGTGGTGGGGATCTCTGTCTCTCTGTCTCTCAAATAAACAAATCTTTAGAAACATTAAAATAAAATCCACCTTAGTATATCCGCTACAATTCAGGAATTGGATAGAATCCACAGAATTAGTGTCAGGTCAGAGCCCCTGTTTACTAATTCCTGAACATTTTAGTATTTCCTTTTCTTCAGTTGAGTCATTTGTGACCACTGATTGTTGGAAAAAGATTTACTTAATATATTGTGGCATAGCTACAGGGCCCTTCTTGATGGGACTTAGCCTTCCCTTTAATCATGGGGCTCTGAGTATATGAATTGGCTCAGCTCTAAAAACAGGCTGAGAATCTGTGACTTTCCATTATGGTAACAGAAGTCAGGTTTTTTAGTCACCAGTTTAGGAGTTTTTTCGTTATATGGATCAGACACTAATCTAGTAGCCTACTCTCATCTATTTCATTCCTGCAGATACCATGTTGATTAGTCACCAACAGAAATCTCCACAGGCTAAAGCATTCTGATTATTAAGACATTCCTGCTGCCCTTTATGGTAAAATAATCGGCTCTTTCAAGTACTGCTACTTGGCTTCTGCTTTTCCTAGATGATCCCTTTTGAATCCAAGAGCCCATATTAATGGAAACCTCTCCCTTCCTGATCTACATAGGAGGACATCACAGAGGCTTTTCAAAGATGTAGATGTTGCCCTTAGTAAATGAATTCCTTAATGCTTTTGTAAAGGGACTGTTTAGATTTTGGGGGCAATGTAGTTGGTGGACAAATATACAGGTTCCATATGAAAAATCTACTTCAACATTCTTACTCCCTAAGCTTTTGGATTCCTTCCTCTATAGCAGAGGACAGCAAATCCAGCCCACTTCCTAATTATGTAAATAATATTTTATTGGAACACAACCATGTCTACTCATTTATGTATTGTCTAGATTTTGCTTTTGTACTACAGTAACAGAGTTGAGTAGTAGTGACAAAGACCATATGGTCTGCAATGCTGAAAATATTTACTCTCTGGTCCTTTAAGAAAAGGTTTGTTGCCAACCTCCGCCCTAGAGCATGCTGAGATTTGATCCAAGTTAGGGGTCTAGTGACCGCAGAGAAGTGATTGTGATAGTTCTTCAGAAGAGTAAACATCCCCTGTAAGGCATTTACCCCAGAAGGTTAGTCTACCCAGACACAGGAGAGCAAACTTGGCACTGGCTGTGAGACTCAGAATAAACACAGAAGTTCAAGGCTTTCAGTTTTGTCAGAATCTAACCAGATACTCCCATTCCACAGTTCAGTGTTCTTTCCTTCCCAGTCAGTGCCCCATCACATAAGAAACTTGGTGAAACTGGGAATTCAACTGACATTGTAAGTTTGCAACATACACAATTAAATTTTGTGTTTAATTTTGTAGCAACATCACCCCATGGTCTCTAGTCTGACCATGACTCCTCCTGAGAATTTAAGGATCTAAGCTTGTTACTTCTTTCTGTCAAATGTCCTATGCCCTCAGTGGAATCTTTTGCACACAAAGACAGATAACTGTCTTTGCAGTTATCACTATTTTTGAAATGGTCAAAGGTAGAAGAACTTGGACTCCCAGGGCATTTTACTTCAGTAGACACTATATAGTTAACTGCAGGAGATAACTTGATTGTTACACCCATGCATACCCTGGATTACTAACACCCCATTTCCCATTGACAAGGGCTCAGCACTGTGCTTTAACCCAAAGGCATGACTAAACCAGTTCTAAAAATCCTGTCTTTAATGAACTGTCTCCTGTGACTACTTCAGTACCAATTCTATACCAATCAAGAATCAGAAACCACCTTAGTAAGTGGAATAGGGAAAGTTTAATATTGAATAAGTGTTTTGAACTAATAAAAGGTGATTAACTACTAAAAGGGATAAGAAGGATTGATTCTAAGGAGTATAGAAGTAACAACTACAGAAAGCAGCTGCCACCTGTAGGGTTGGTGGGTGGTGATTAAGAAGGAACCCTTCCTCTCTTTTCCCAGGCTGAGATTCAGATCTCTTTGGAGAGGATGTGGGTGTCAGTAGAAAAGAAACTTGCCAGAGGCCTGGTCTAGGAAATCGTTTGCTGTGGTGGCAGAAAAAGTTTTTCAGTCCCAGCCCCATCCTTCATACCTACCCTTGCCCCATCATTAATCTGATCTAGTTCCAGCACACCAGAAGAAAGAACAATCCCTTCCTTCTTCTTTGGCCTTGCAAGGACCTTCCAGTACCCTCTATTGGCCAAAATCAAATTAGCTGGAAAAGGAAAAATGTCTACAGGGCCTAGCTCTAGTATCACATAGCAGGAAAGAAAAGGGTGAATTTGGAGCTGAGAGGCGATAAATTAATAACAAGCTCTTATCCAGCTCGTGACTGTGACTACTATCTGTATGCTACTGTCTCCCATATTTATATCTCTAGTCTGGTCTTCTTCCTTGAGCTCCAGAGAAGTGTAATTATACCAAACTGCCTTCTTGATGTCTTCACTTGAATTTCTCATAGGTATCCTTAACTTTATGGGTTCAAAACCAAACACTTGTTCCTCCTCTAGTTTTTTTCATCTCGGTAAATTACATCGCTGTTTGAAAAAAGAATCCTTGATTTTATCTTTTTCTCCTATGCTTTTCCCAGTTAGTCAGAGTCCTGCCACCTCTATCTTCAAAATATCCAAATCCTAACCTTTCTCATCACCTCCATTCCAGCTACCCTGCACCAGGTTGCCTTCATCTCTTAAATATCAGAAATAATCCTAGATTTTATCATTATGTTTTGATAATTAAATGATAAATGACTAGTTCTCCATTCATTCTGTAACTTTTCATTCTGTGACAGCTATACCCCATCCCTTCCTCTCCAAATTTTATGCAAGACACCAAAAGTCTTAGAGCTTTTGAATATATCTGCCATATCCCTTGCTGTCAGGACAAACCCACTCTTATTTCCCAATACAATAAATGTTTTAAAAATTGTCTTTTTTTTTTCAAATTTGAAAGCATTTTTATAAAGATGGACTTATTTCTTACATTTCTGATTTGTTGGATAGAAACTACAGAGGTAGCAACCTCCCACTAAACATTTCCACATGTCTTTGGCTTTTTATGTTATTAAAATCTCTCATTCCTTTTCATTAACTTAATTTTTTAAGATAAACATTAGTACTTATGTTACATTCAGAAGAGGGGTATGGTTTGTATTTATTATTGCTTAGAATTTCATACCACGATTTCAGTAGAAAACTGTGTTGCCCTTATCCCTTGACTGCTTTTGAATGTTGATTTGAAGCCATAATGAATTCAGGAATTCTCTTTGAAATTGAAGATTCCTTAAGCACATAATTTTTTAAAATAGAAAATCATCTGATATATGCTTTCTATCTCTTTTTAGGTGGAAGATGTTGCTGTTTTTCTCCTGATGGTAAAGCTTTGGCTGTAGGTCTGAATGATGGAAGTTTCTTAATGGCAAATGCAGATACTCTAGAGGATCTTGTGTCTTTTCACCACAGAAAAGATATTATTTCAGATATTCGATTTTCACCAGGTAAGATATCATTGAAATCATATTTGATTATCAACTTGGGGTGGCAATGAGCAAATATATCAATATGTAATTTTTATTAACCATTATTTTATCTTAGAATTTCAATTTTTTTACTAGAAAAGAGTATGGTAAAAGGTAAAATTCCTGTATTAGATCAGTGGCAAAATACCCAACTTTAACAATTCTGTCACTAAATAAATAGGCTTAAGCCAAGGAACTGTTCTGAGTTTCAATTTCCTCATTTCTAAGATAGAAGGATTGGGTGACTCTCTTCATTATATTCTTAATACTTTCGAAATGTTGCACTAATTTTGCTTATTAATTTCCGTGTATTCATTATCTCTCACAAAACCCACTGTAATGTGGGAAGTACTAATGTTAAGGCCAAATTTACTTATGTTAGTTTACTTCCACTTTTTCTGAATTTAGAGGGCTTATTGAAAATTTGTTTTTAGCTAAACACAAACTGTATTTAATTACATGGTATATAATTTTTGGCCTTTGCTTTCTGTTGAACTGTCTCACTAAAGAAAACATTTTGTTAATTATAATATACTTGAGAAAATATAGTTACAGATTATCACTTGATACACGTTTTGTTATAATTCACAGAACACCTAAGAGTTCATCCAAAAAAATGTTAAGAAAATTAACTCTAGGGGTGCCTGGGGGCTCAGTTGTTAAGCATCTGTCTTCAGCTCGGGTCATGATCCCAGGGTTCTGGGATCGAGCCCTGCATCGGGCTCCCTACTCGGCAGGAAGCCTGCTTCTCCCTCTTCTACTCCTCCTGCTTGTGTTCCCTCTCTTGCTCTCTTCCCCTGTCAAATAAATAAAATCTTTAAAAAAAGAAAAAAAAGAAAAGAAAGAAGGGGCGCCTGGGTGGCTTAGTCATTAAGTATCTGCCTTCAGCTCAGGTCATGATCCCAGGGTCCTGGGATCGAGCCCCGCATCGGGCTTCTTGCTCAGTGGGAAGCCTGATTCTCCCACTCCCCCTGATTCTGTTCCCTGTCTCACTGTGTCTCTCTCTGTCAAAAAAATAAATAAAAATCTTAAAAAAAAAATTAACTCTAGTTGTACAATGTAAAAAATATTTCTAAATATAGAAAATCTCAAGCAAATATGTTTCTGTTACAGGTTCTGGGAAATATCTTGCAGTAGCATCCCATGACAGTTTTATAGATATATACAATGTGATGAGTAGTAAACGAGTAGGAATATGCAAAGGCGCTACGAGTTACATAACCCATGTTGATTGGGATATTAGAGGTAAGGATTTAAAAAACCTATTTGGTAAAAGTTCCATTTGATTTAGTTTGGCTATTTTAGAGAAACAGTGATTCAACAGATGAGTTCAGAATCATTGTGAGAAACATTCTCAAAGTTACTTTCCACTCCTTCGTTTCACATCTGAAGGAGAATGCTGTGAAGTTAGATTTTTTTAATATTTCCAGTATAATTCAAGTGATAGTACAGTAACTGACAAATTCTTTAATTTGTAAAGTAATTAAATATTATGTAAAAAAGGTTTTTTGTCATTTTTTTCTGGCTTTTGTCAGATAAGCTTAGTCTAAATAATAATTCAGAATTTGGAGATATGTTAATGAGGATTTTAATGTCCTTTCCCCATCATTCAGTAAAACACATTTCTTAAAAATAATCACAGTTGTATAACATACAGAATTTAATGAGTGTCTTTGTTTTTTCAGTAGAATGCATTGCACATCGCAGTGTTTAATAATTTGGATAAATGCTAAATATATTAAATCCTCTGTTTTTAAGGATTTTTGTTTCACATATTCTTTACACAAATCTAGTATTGTTAAAAGTTTTTCCAAACATAATTAAACAAAACAATTTTTTAAAAAATCATCAAATTTATTTCTAGGGTTTTTTATATCCATAACAACAGAAATAGTTTCTATGTATATACATACACTAAAGTTAAACCATTTATGAATTAATTATGTGGTTGACTCTGAGGAAAAATGTTTTTGTGTTTAAGCTTAATATTTCCCATAAAAGTTAAACATTCTACTTCTGGGGAAGATGGTACAGTAGGACGGTGCTAGACTCACCTTCTCTCAGCTAAAACTAATACCCACATCAGTGTAAATAACCCAGAAAATGAGCTGAAGATGGGCAGAACAGATTCTCCACAGCTAAATGTAGAGAAGAGGCCACATGAAGAGGGTAGGAAGGACAGAGATGCAGTTGGGAGCTAAATGGATTCAGTGGACTGTCTGCTGGAGGGAGGAGGGACACTGCGGCCATGGAGAGGGGAAATAAATAGACAGTCACAGTGGGGAGCCCACAGGGAAAAGATAAAACATTTGGCTTTGAAAACCAGAGGGCTCAAATTCCACAAGTTTTTACAGTTAGGCTTAACACCTAGAACTTAAAAAATCAGTTGGTTTGGTTCTGGAAGAACCAGGAGGGTAAAAGGAAACTGAGTATCTGCCCTTAAAGACGCAGTATAACAATCGGCCCTGGATGCGGCAGTTGGGAAACCACCTGAGGTATGTGGAAAGGAGATTTGTTTACTAATCTCAGAGCATGTGAGTTGGGAAACTCTAAGAACAAAAGAGCCAGCAGGCGCCATTTCCTTCCCCTGTCCCTAGCCTAGACACAGGGATACCTACGAGAACCAGTGAAGCAGGAACACTCTCCATCTAACTTGCTTAACAGCGCACCCCGCCCCTGCACGTCACACACGCATTCCCTCCAGCCAGACCTGGGTTTCAGGTCGGCTCCCACAGCAGACCTGCACAAACCTTGTTAACACTGCACACCCCGCCACTGCGTGCTCTTGGGGACACGCCCCCTCCAGTATACCCTTGGCCGGAGCCCATCCAAAGCAATGTTACAATTCTGGCAGGGTGCAAGTGGCCCTGGCAGGGAACAGCACCACTTCAAAGTGACCCCTGCTCTGGGGAGAGAAGAACATAACCGTAGTTGAACACTAGTCCCGACTGCGGCCCCAGCAGTGGACTCAGGGCAGACACCTCATCTGACCTCAAGCCACGAAAGCTTCTCAGGGGACAACACAGAGAAAGTGCCCTGCAGTTTGGTGCTACTGCATCTCTGGCAAAAACCTGGTCTGACCCAACTCAAGCCCACAGTGGGCTGACACTCACCCATTAACAACACAGGGATAAACCCTGCCCACAATTGCAGATGACTGTATTAAAGGCAAAAGCTGCTCAGCAACAACACTAGGGCACATGCAACACACACAGGAGACACTTCTGAGGCGCTGGGTTCCAGTAAACAGGGGACACGGTGCTACAGGGCACCACAGGACCTCTTTTTCATAAAGCCACTATTTTCAAGAGCAGAAGGCATAGCTGACCTTCCTAACACATAGAATGTCCTGATCGAAAGAAGAAGACAAAATCATAGTGAGAGGGCTAAATAAAATGGAGATGATGAACATGCCTGATAGAGAATTTGGAGTAATGGTCATAAACATACACAATGAATTTGAACAAAGAGTAGATGACCTCAATACGATCCTTAATAAAGAAATAGAAAACATAAAAAAGAACCAGTCACAGATGAGGAACTCAATAAATGAAATTAAAAATACGCTAGATGGAATAAGTAGTGCATTAGAGAAAGCAGAAGTATGGATCTATGACCTGGAGGACATAATAATGGAAAACAAGCTGAACAGGAGAGAGAAAAAATAGTAATAATAAATGAAAACAGATTTAGGGAACTCAGTGACATCATCAAGAATAATAACATTTGGATGGGCGCCTGGGTGGCTCAGTGGGTTAAGCTGCTGCCTTCAGCTCAGGTCATGATCTCAGGGTCTTGGGATCGAGTCCCGCATCGGGCTCTCTGCTCGGCGGGGAGCCTGCTTCCCTCTCTCTCTGCCTGCCCTTCTGGCTTTTTGTGATCTCTTCGTGTCAAATAAATAAATAAAATCTTAAAAAAAAAAAAAAAAGAGTAATAACATTTGCATTACAGGGATTCCAGTAGGAGAAGAGAAAGAGAGGCATAAAATTTATTTGAAGAAATAATAGCTGCAACCTTCCCAAATCTGGGAAAGGAAACAGAAATCCAGATCCAGAAGGTGAAGAAAGCCGCCAGCAAACCAACCCAAGGAAGTTCACACCAACACACAGAATAATTAAAATGGCAAAAAGGAGTGATAAAGAGAAAATTTAAGAGCAGCAGGAGAAAAGATGACAGTGACATACAAGAGGAAACCCCATAAGGCTATCAGCTGATTTTTCAGCAGACATTTTGCAGGCCAGAAGGGAATGGCATATATTCAGAGTGCTGAAAGAAAAAAACCTGCAGCCAAGAATACTCTCTCCGGCAAGACTATCACTCAGAATAGAGAGAGAGAGATTCCTAGACAAACAAAAGTTAAAGGGATTCATGACCACTAACTCAGACCTACATGACTCATTACAGGTACTCTGAGTGGAACAAAAAGATCATAATTAAAAAGGTAAATCATAAATTAGAGTAAGAAAAGCACAAAATCAGTAAAATTAAATGTATCTGTAAAAATATATCTGTAAAAATTGTCATGGGATTTATAAAAGAAAAGGAAGGGAAAGTATGACACCATATACTTAACATAGGGAGGAAGGAGAGGAGTAAAGAATGGGTTCAAACTTAAGGCGATCATCAACTTAAAATAGACTGCTGTAGGCATAAGATGTTATATAAAAACCTAATGGTAACAAATCAAAACCCAGTAGGAGATATGCAAAAAATAGAGGGGAATCCAAGTATGTCACTGAAGAAAGCCAGCAAACCATGAGAGAAAAGAACAAGGGAAGAAAGGAACAGAGAAGAACTACAAAATCACCATAAACAAGTAACAAAATGGCAATAAGTACCTACCTATCAATAATTACTTTGAATGTAAATGGACAAACACTCCAATCAAAAGACTAGGGTGACAGAATGGATAAAAAAGCAAGACTTGTCTATATGCTGCCTAAAAGAGACCTCATGTCAGATTCATTTCAGACATTCAGATTGAAAAGAAATGGTGATGAGCACTGGGTATTATACGCAATTGATGAATTATTGAAACTGCACCTGGAACTAATGATGTACTATATGTTGGCTAATTGAATTTAAATTAAAAGAAAAAGTGAAGGATTGGAAAACCATTTCTTGTGCAAATGGAAATGAAAAAACAAGGGTAGCCAATACTTATATTGGACAAAATAGACATTAAAAAACAGTAAAAAGAAGCAAAGAAGGACAGTAATATTCATAAAGGGAACAATTCAACAAGAAGATATAATAGTTGTAAATATTTCTGTACCCAACATGGGAGTACCTAAGTACATAGAGCAGTTAATAATAAACATAAAAGGTAATTATTAGTAATATAGTAATAGTAGGAGACTTTAGCACCCTACTTACATCAATGGATAGATCCAAAAGAAATCAACAAAGAAAGAGTGGCTTCGAATGACACTGATGAATTTAATAGATATATTTAGATCATTCCATCCTAAAATAGCAGAATACACACTCTTTTCAAGTGCATATCAAGCATTCTCCAGAATAGATAACATTTTAGGACACAAAACAAGTCTCAATTCAAAAAGTTTGAAATCCTACCATACATCTTTTCTGGCCATAATGCCATGAAACTAGAAATTACGACAAGAAAGAAAATGTGGGAAGAATACAAATATATGGAGGCTAAATAACATGCTACTAAACAATGATTGGGTCAACCAAGAAATGAAGAAATTAAAAAATACATGGAGACAATGAAAATAAAAACACAATAATCCAAAATCTATGGTATGCAGCAAAAGCAATTCTAAAAGAGAAGTTTAGCAAAACAGGCTTACTTTAAGAACCAAGAATAATCTCGAACATCCTAACTTCTATACCTAAAGAAGATAGAAGAACAAACAAAACCCAAATCGAGCAGAAGGAAGGACATAATAAAGATTAGAGCAGAAATAAAAGAGAAACTAAAGAAACAATAGACCACGTCAATGAAACCAGGAGCTAGTTCTTCGAAAAGATCATCAAAATTGCTAAACTTCTAGGCAACTTCATCCACAAAAAAAAAAAAAGAGGAGAAATAACTGACACTACAGAAATACAAAGGATTGTAAGAGAATAGTATGAAAAATAATATGCCAAACAATATGACAACCTAGGACAAATGGATAAATTCCTAAAAACATATAACTTATCAAAACTAAAACAAGAAGAAAGAGAAAGTTTGAACAAAAAGTTTTATTAACAGCAGTGATACTGAAACAGAAATCCAAAAACTGCCAACAAACAAAAGCCCAGGACCAGACAGCTTCACAGGTGAATTCTATCAAACACTTAAGAGCTAATACCTTTTCTTAAACTTTTACAAAAAATAGAGAAGAGGAAAGGAAGCTTCCTAATTCACTCTGTGAGGCCAGCATCACCTTGATACCAAAACCAGATAAAGACACAACAAAAAGAGAGAACTACAGGCCAATATCTGATGAACATAGATGCAGTAATCCTCAACAAAATATTAGCAAACCAAATCCAACAATAAATACAGTCACTCACAATCGTGTGGAATTTATCCTAGGATGCAAGCAGGGTTTATTATTTGCAGATGAATCAACAGGATATGTCCCATTAACAAGAGAAAAGACAAAAACCTTATGATCATTTCAAAACATATAGAAAAAGCATTTGATAAGGTACAATATCCATTCATGATGAAAACCCTCAACAGAGTAAGTTTAGAAGGACCATACCTCAACATAATAAAAGACCATATATGAAAACCCCCAACTAAGAGCATATTTAATGGTGAAAAACTGGGAGCTTTCCCTGAAAGGTCAAGAACAAGACAAGGACGTCCACTCTTGCCACTTTTATTAAACATAGTATTAGAAGTCCTAGCCACAGCAATGACAGAAGAAAAAAGGAAAAAAAAGTGATCCAAATTGCTAAGGAAGAAGTAAAACTTGACTCTTGGCAGATGACATGGATGCGATATATGGAAAACTCTAAAGACTCCACCAAAAGTGGGGTAAGTGAGGTCATAGGATACAAAATCAATATACAGAAATCCATTGCATTTCTGTAATAATGAGGCAGCAGAAAGAGAAATTAAGAAAATGATCCCAGTTACAATTACACCAAAAATAGTAAAATACTGGGTTGCCTGGCTGGCTCAGTTGATAAAGCATGTGACTCTTGATCTCAGTATTGTGAGTTTGAGATCCACGTTGGGTGTGGAGATTACTTAAAATGAATAAATAGAACTTTTAAGAAAGGCAATGGAAAGACAGGTGAAATAGGCAAAGGGGATGAAGAGTGCACTTACATGAGGAGCACTGTATAAAATTGTCAAATCACTGTATTGCACACCTAAAATTAATGTAACACTATGTTATCTACACTAGAATTTAAAAAGAACTTAATGAGAGAAAGGTGGTAAAAAATACTAATGTAATGTTCACTGAATGCTTTTAAATGGGATTAACTCTGTAATTTTACATTAATGAAACAATTCAATTTTACGATTATAAAACAATTTAAATGTCATAATAAGCCATGAAAGAAAGTATTTTAAAAAGTTAAACTTTTCATTAACTATATAAATATATTTTATATGTGTGTATATTTTATTTATTTTTTTTTTTTTAAGGAAAGCTTTTACAGGTCAACACTGGTGCTAAAGAACAGTTATTCTTTGAAGCTCCCAGAGGGAAAAAACAAACCATCCCCAGTGTGGAGGTAGGAAGATAATACTACTTGCAATGTTGTTGATATGACTAAGTGGTTAGAACACTGATGCCCACCTTCTATCATTTACATATGAAACCCGTTCTCACATTATTTAAATCATGGCTATTCCTTCTGTGAGTTTATTTTACTGGCCCAGACTATTAGATGAGTAAAGGAAAAGATGCTGTATTAAGAAAAGGAATAGGGGCACCTGGGTGGCTCAGTGGGTTAAGGCCTCTGCCTTCAGCTCAGGTCATGATCTCAGGGTCTTGGGATCGAGCCCCAAATCCAGCTCTCTGCTCAGTGGGGAGCCTGCTTCCCCCTCACTCTCTGCCTGCCTCTCTGCCTACTTTTGATCTCTGTCTGTCAAATAAATAAAATTAAAAAAAAAAAAGAAAGAAAGAAAGAAAAGGAATAAAACAGGGGCACCTGGGTGGCTCAGTTGGTTAAGCGTCTGACTCTTGATTTCGGCCTAGGACCTGATGTCAAAGTGGTAGGATGGAGCCCTGTGTCAGGCCCAGTGTGGGGCCTGCTTGAGAGTCTCTCTCTCCTCTCCCCACTCACCACCCGCTCCCCGCCCTCACTTCCACTTGCGTGTACATGCTCTCTCTAAAAAAAAAAAAAAAAACGGGGCTGGGGGGTGGGAATAAATCAACTTTTACGTCTAGCTCTGCTCCAGTCCAGTTACTTTCCTCAGAGGATGCGAGGCAAATAGAAGACATGCTGTTTTAGATGGAAGCACTGCATGTCTCTCAAATCTTTTGGAACCTATGTGTCTAGGATGCTTGTTGGCAAATTCCTGTTTAATGAAAAGAAAAAAGAAAAAAATGTGTTTCATTTTGTGACTGACAGTATTAGCAAAATTTTTTGACATGGCCAAGGAAGCGAGGCTAAACAAATTTAACATGAAAGTAGCTTAATGAGGAAATAATGTTAAGTAAAGTAAGTAAAGATAATATAAGTTCTGGGGCACCTGGGTGGCTTAGTGGGTTAAGCCTTTGCCTTCTGCTCAGGTCATGATCCCAGGGTTCTGGGATCGAGCCCAACAACATGGGGCTCTCTGCTCAGCAGGGAGCCTGCTTCCCCCTTTCTCTCTCTGCCCGCCTCTCTGCCTACTTGTGATCTCTGTCAAATAAATAAAAGTCTTTAAAATATATATATATATATATATATATATATATATATATATATATA